ATGCTAAGCACTGGGCGTGAGGTGGGGTGTTAAAGAATGATAAAAGTCCCACATCGGTGGTTAATGAGATGGGTGGACTCCTTATAAGGCTTGGGCAATCCTCATTTCTTTGAGCTAGCTTTTGGGGTGTGAGTTAGGCCTAAGACCTAATTAAACATGGTATCAGAGCAGGGCCCATCTCACCCGATGTTAGGGCTCCCAAAATCAAAATTGCCCATGCACCAGATGCTAAGCACTGGGCATGAGGTGGGTGTTAAAGAATGACAAATGTCCCACATCGGTGGTTAATGAGATTGGGTTGGACTCCTTATAAGGCTTGGGCAATCCTCATTTCTTTGAGCTAGCTTTTGGGGTGTGAGTTAGGCCTAAGACCTAATTTAACACTATGTATCTTAGTCTGCTTATGCCACTGATCTCATAATGCCCACAGAAAATTAAAAACAATAAAGGTTGATAACGGGAAATGAAAATGTAGCAATGCTATAGTTTTTTTTTGAAATTAAATATTTTTTTTGAAATTATGTAGCAATGCTATAGTTATACTAAACATAACATGTTTGCGTGAGTTCATCTGACATTTCCTTCTCCATCGACCACAATCGATCATCAATGGAGAAAGTTTAGATTATATTTCTTAATATTGAGAGAAAATGGGCATGAGTGCAGTTCAATCTTGTGGTGTATACGTTTGTAGTGAGTTGGACAATCACTCATTTCTTTTGTATTCGGAGTGAGAACCTATCTAATGGATAGGATAGAGGTCTTCTAAACCTTTGGTAGCTGTATAGGTTCAAATCGTATTGGACACAATCTATTTCCATATATATCTTTTTTCAGATTTCGATAGCAAGAAAGAGGAACAGCATTCGCGGTCCGGAAGAGAGGAAGGAGGCCCTCCTCCAGGAAAAAAGGAAACTAATTCTATTGAGAGAGTAGCAAAAGAACTCTACTAGCCTAGAGAGGCCTAGAGCTGTAGAAAAAACACCTATTTCTGTACCGGTTACAGAAGAGCGAAAAGGGGGTCAGATTTATGCCGATGGCAGAAAGAGTAAGTCACAAAGCTTGTATTGCTCTACCACAACCTGTTTCACGGTTTAGGCAGCTCCCATTTCGCCTACCACTGGAAAAAAAAACGAGAAAATGATCAAATCGTCCTTAATGTATAGGGTTGGACTAGTTTGGTCACCATGTATTTTTGCATCTCCCAGCCTCATTGTCATTAAAAACTGTTCACCTAAAAAACAGCCTACACCAGCGATCTCATACGATCACCATCACTGCCGCAAGACAACACTATTCACCACCAGCATCGAGGATTCATTTTTATTTCTTCTCACAGACCAGAGAACTCAAATATCTCTGCACCGACATTCACCTATAAACCTCATTCTACCAACCTTTCCATTTCACTTATACATACAAGTTGTGCAGCCTATCATGGCTTTAAAGCCAAAAAAGGAAGAATAACAGTTGAAAGAGGAAAGGAAAAAAGAATTCTAGAGCCTCAGCCGGGAAACAATCAATGGAGATATAATATGTTGTTGAACTTTCCTTTCCTTTTTTCTTTTTTTCTGCTTCTCCTGGTAGAGATCCCCATTTGCCCAAATGTGGGTGTGATGTTCTGTGTTCATAGTATCCCAAAAGAACAGCATTTACTGGTTAGAGCTTGCAGGAAATGCAATCAAGTAAATCTTATTCTCTTGCCTAGCCATGTGTCGAGCAAGATTTATATGGAGGACAAGATGCGAAAAGTGAGACTAACATGGTTCATGAATGTGAAGAGGAGATGCATGGACACCCCAGTACGAGGTGTGAGAGGTTGGCTATGGATGGTTTCGGATAGGTAGTTGTAGGCTGAAGAAGTATTGGGAGAGGTAATGAGAGAGGTAATTAAACAAGACATGATGCAACTTCAGCTTATCGAGGACAGGACCATATATAGGAGGTGATGGAGGATACAAATTAGGGATAGAGGGTGAGTTATAAAGTTGAGTGTTGTCTTAATCACCCTTCCATACTAGCAGACAGTAGCCGTATATTACTCTTGTAGTTTCTTATTATTTCATTTCTGTAACTATTTAATGTTTTTTGTACTTCGATTATCGTATTATTTTATTGTAGGTACTTTTCCATATGCTCTATCATGCTTTCTTTAGTATATTGTCTTGATTGCTTCATTCTCGTTGTTTTCTTTTTTCAAACTGCTTCATAATGCTTTTATTTGAGCTAGGAGTCTATCAGAAACAAACTCTCTACCTCCAAAAGCATGGTTAAGGTCTGCATATATACTACCCTCCCTAGACCCCACTTGTGGGATTACCACAGCTATGTTGTTGTTGTTGTTGGGTTGTTCTGAGCTTTTGTGTTTATGGCAGCCACCAGAGATACACTTGAAACACATCCCCATTACATTTACTCATGGTTTTGACTCTATTATTCATTCAGCATAAGCTAAACCTAATAACAGAGTCCTTAATCGACTAGCTAGCGAACCCACTCGACGGGCGTTGTCATTGAGAAGCTGAGAGTGGAGCTCATGAGTAGATTATGGACTATTTCAGTTAAGAATCATACATTTAATGCAACCAAGGACCATTTCCATCATTTATTTTGAAAAAAAAGACTCCAATACAACAGCAGGATGAATTAAGAAACTGGCAATATAAATCAATAAAATCAACTAATTCAACAATGAGGTATAAATTCAGAAAAATTGTTGTAAAAAGCTTAATTGGAAGATCGAAACTCACAAGTAGGTAGTTGAGGAGGATAATTTTCGTAATTTTCTGCTTGTATAATCTGCTTGAGATGCTTCCAGTGCCGTCCTCTAGCTTGTCCTTTAGGGTACTTGTCGTACATCTGAATCTTCTTAAATTTCATGTGAGTTGGAAGTACTAGTTCTGCTTCTAACACTTCTCGCTCCATTAATTCAGTTCCGACCTCCGATTGGTGACGGCGATTTACGGTGGTGAAGTTCCTGCCGATGATTCTCCGACGGGGAAATAAAGGGGTGCCAGATGAGGGGAATTAAAGCGGGTTTTACTTATTGGGCTTGGATCTTAACCCGTAATGATGTCTATGGGTTATGATCTTTTCTTTTTTCCCTTTTTAGTCCCTTACAATTAAACAATCATTATCTTACATTCTTACTTATAATTAGTGTGAGCGATCGTAGTCAAATATAATAGAGTAAATTTTAGGTTTAGCAAACATAAAAATCATATTTGTATGTTATAGTTATAGTTTATATAATTGCGCTCCATAGCAAACTTTATGTTTGCTATAACTATTAATATGTATATTTCAGTATACATATACAAAAGAATCAGTTGTATAATCTGTTTCGGTATACATATACAAAAGAATCAATTGTATAATTTGTGTTTATATAAAACGAGAAAAAGAGAAAGACAGAAGAAAATTGGGTAGGGAAAGATCTGTATTTATATAATTATAAGTGTATAGGACGAAAATATATGTATTTATATTTGTATATACAATTTTCTCTCGTTTTATACAAACACAAACGCAAAATATACATTTGTGTTTGTATAAAGTGAGAGAGGCGAGTGAGAGCGGCAAGCGAGATCTGGGAGAGTGGCGAGCGAGATTCTCTGGGGAGAGAGGCAAACAAAAAAGACATGTATATATACAGTTTTCTCTCACTTTATACAAATATAAACACATTTTATACATTTGTGTATGTATAAAAGTGAGAGAGACGAGGGAGAGACTGCCAGCGAGAAAACGAGAGTGGCGAGCGAGAATTTCGGGGAGAGAGGCGAATGGCAACAGTTTGTTACGGGTTACAATTAAATCAAACTGTGGTTATAACATTTAATTTGAATTAATATTTTGCTATTTTATACAAAATTCAAACATGTGGGCGCAAAATGCTATCTTGCTTTATCGTTACGTAGCAATAGAAGCCTGCTTATGCTGCTTCGGCAGCGCTTTTTCGCCCTCTCTTCGCTCTAGACAAGAGCGCTAGTGGACACAGGGAGGGAGCAGGCAAAGCGTGTCGTTCGTAATGGAAAGAAACAATTTTCTCAATATAATAATTCAAATAAATTGGGACCGAATTTCAAGTGAAATACTATGAGAAAATGTTACTTGTGATGATTGGTTTACTTTAGGTTTTATTAGATCTTATTCTGTAAAAGTATAATAAATTGGGATTATATTTGCTGCAATATTAACTTAAGATTTAAATGATGTTTTTCTAATGGATATAAAGATTATAATTGTTTCCGTGGCTGATAATTAGTGACACTCGAATAATTGCAATGACATATAATTTGTTTTTTATTCTTTCTTTCATGTACTCCACTTTAACATGTTCTCGAACTTCTAGCTTTCATTTTAAATCCCTTCCAAGCCTTCAAAATATTGACTTGATGCAAAACATTTGACCTTCATATCTTGACTTAGCGTATATGGATCAATATGGGAGATCATCATCTCATTTTAATTTCAATTTTGAAGCCGATATCAGAATAACTAATGATAAAGAAACTTGTGCGAAAAACACTATTCACTTTGTAACATAATGGTGGACCATCTCCTATCTTCCTTAAATTTTCTACAAATTTTAACCATTATATAAAAATGAGATTATTTTTTTTTTGCAAATAACCACTATAATAAACTTAATTATGTTCCATAGCTATAGTTTGCATATTTACGGGTTGTAGATGCAGTTTAAGCTGCTTCGTTTGTATAATTCGCGGGTACGTTTATATAATTGAGTTATTTTTGTATAAACTCAAAATAACAAAGTTATACAAACACTAACATCTGAACATTAAACAATTATATAAATTATATTATACAAAATTACATTATACAAAAGTTACACAAATTATACTATACAATTTTTGAACTATACAAACGTGCAAATCATACATACTCGAAACCCCAACCCACATAATTATCACTGAATGTTGGTCGCAAGTGGTAATTAATTAAAACTATAACTATGATAACTAATTAACTAGTAAATGTTTGCCTAACCATGTAATTTTCCCTATAAAAAATAAATAAATCTTTTTTCCTATTATGGGCCACTTTAACCCGTAGCCGGAGATAAGCCCAATGGGCCACTTTATATTGGGCTTTCAACAAAGCCCTATGTAAACATCTCTCCTTATTAGCATTACCCCTTCACTCTTCACTGAAAAAAACCCTAAACTTCTGAATACAGAGAGAGCCGCAGAGTTTGCTCAGGAAGTAGCTCTCATCCAGAGCGAAAATGGTGAGAGCAAAAAAAAATATTCACTTTCGTTCTTCTCCTTTTTCTCTTAGCAATTCACTGATCATAATCTCTTAACTTTTTCTCTATTTTTTGTTTTGATTTTTGCAGACTTTCAAGCGAAGGAACGGAGGTCGTAACAAACATGGACGTGGCCATGTCAAGTTCATCCGCTGCTCTAACTGCGGCAAATGCTGCCCTAAGGTCCTTTCTCTATTGATTTTTTTAAACATATATGAATGCAACAAATTGGATCCAGAATTATAAGATGATGTTAGAGGTCTAGTGAATAATCAGTTCATGTATTAGTGTTATGTGTTTATATGTGCAGATTATTTTTACGCAAGTATATATTTTAACAGTGAAATTATATGATTATAGTTTTGAGTAGAAGATAAGTGGTGTTCATCTGGTCCATTGAGAATATAGACCTGTTCATGCGTGAATGCTGATTAAAAAGAGAAGGATATATGCATAATGTGTTTTTTGTCGAAGAAGGGACATTTTCTATATATTTTATATTTATATGTGAATACAGCGAATTGGATCCTGGAGTTTAAGTGTATGTTAGATGACAGTCAATCATATATTAGTGTTTTGTGTTAATATGTGAAGATTTTCTTATGTGAGTGTATATTTTATCTTTGAAATTATATGATTATAGTTTTGAGTAGAATATGGTGCTTGGTCCAATGAGAAAATAGATATGTTCAGACGTGATTTCTTATTAGAATGCACGATGAGTTTATTGTAGAAGGGTATAATTTTTTTTTTGGTTTGGTGTCTTTTTATGGGGAAGGGTATGTCTAAGGTTGCACACACACCACCCTCCTAATTTTGAGTACCTTGATGCTCTGTTTGGTAATGTTTCTTAAATAAAAATTTTCCGCCAAGTGATGATTAGTATGTGCTATTGGGCATCTGTATTTGAAGTCAAAGCTGAAATGTAATAAGAGATGGATATGCAAATGATGTTTTCATTGTTCAGGTAGGAAAGTGTGGGTTAGATTTAAAAGATGCAGATCAGGGAACAAATTAAGAGTTAAGGGGTCCTCTGGTTCAAATGCAGTATATCCCAAGATCATATTGTGTGATTAAAACCAGGACTGTAACATGGATAACTTATCCCACCTTCTATATGGGATAAGTTATACAAGTTTTTGCTAATGCCTCCAACCAAATGCGAGATAAATTTAATCCCAAAATCTATACTGGGATAACCCACCAAATCCGTTGAACCAAATGATTCCTTAGGGTACCATGCTCATTATAGATACTGATTTAGTACAAGAAAGTTTGGTGTTCTTTGGCTAATTTTCACGTATGTTTCCTACTATCATCAATTTAATGCCAGATGTGCTAGAATCTGTACTGTTAGACCAATTTTATGGGAGTATCCTGCAAGTGACTATTGTAGTGGCTCCTTATACCCCTTCATTTTGCATTTGATCTTTGTATTACACTCATCATTATAGTGTTACAAGATCATTTTCAGCTAATATTTTCAAATTTGCTCATGTTATAAGTTCAAACTGATTTTCAGGACAAAGCCATCAAGAGGTTCCTTGTGAGGAACATTGTTGAACAAGCTGCTGTACGTGATGTTCAGGAAGCTTGTGCTTTTGAATGTGAGGTTCTTAGAGCATTTTCTAATCCTATATATTGCTCAATAGTTACCTAGTGTGAATTAACACGACTGTGTTCTCTTTATCCAGTGTACACTCTTCCTAAGCTCTATTTGAAGATGCAGTACTGTGTTTCATGTGCAATTCACTCCAAGGTGGTTAGAGTCCGTTCTCGTACTGACAGGAGGGTTCGTGAGCCTCCACAGCGTTTCAGGCGCCCAAGGGTATTCTATCCTCCATATTATCTTCTTAGCTTTGAGATATAGTTTCCTTGAGATGTGCATTTTGGCATGGAATTAAACTGTGTATAAAATGAACCTCGACTACACATGCTGGTACCTGTTTTGACATTTTGTTGATCTCATAGCTCATTTTGTTATTAACCAACATATAGAAAATCTATGTTGCTCATACTCTCCAAAATGTTTTTGCACCTGTGTGGTATCCTTTAAAATGCACTACTTTTGGATGATTTGCGCACACATGGTGGCATTGTTGAATAGTTTGAGCAACATAGCAGGAAATAATGTTTGCCTGCTGTAGCCTATAAGTACCAGGAGGGATATCAGCACAGTTTAGTCTTTCAGACTCGCTCAAATATTGCCTATCTGTACTGTTTGCTATTTGTATAGATAATAATGAGGTTTCTTCATGAAACCATTCTACAATAATCTTTTGCTCAGTTGGAGTTTGTCTTTTTTGTGGTTATTCCAGGATGATCTCCCAAAGACAGGACAAGCTCCACGCCCCGCTGGAGGACCCCCTGCTGCTCCACGCACTTAAGTTATTAGGATTCAGGTTTTGGTTAATCTGATAGTTATGGCGTGTTTTACATGTGGTGGTTTTGACATTGTACTGTTTTCATCTAGATATTTGAACCTATTACCATGTTATGGAATTGAATTTTGAATGGAAAACAGATATTCAAGTTTTCTGAATAGAAGGCTCTCAATTTGTGCTTCTGATAACCTGCCAACATCTGCCTGAATGGTGTTATTAGTTATTTCAATTTCCTTATTGAAATTGATGGATAGGATAATTCTTGTAATTTTCTTGTATTTTGGCATGCCAGCATTGGGAATTAGTCTTGATATTCAGCATTCTGTCTTTAAATTGCAACCATAAAGGAAATGTGTTGCACTATGTTTTAATTTAGTGATCGATGAGGTGGGGGGGACCTTTTGGTGGATAGTGGTTCAAACCTCTACCGAGGAAAAAGATACTTGGTGATCTTTTTACTACTTTGTTAAAGTGCCTAATTTTTTTGGTAGAGAGTTACGTGGTATCTGCGTTGGTTGTGGTACATAACAGTCGAATTAATTTTTTGTAAGTGTGATTTGGGGAAGGTTGTGTACTCTCAGATCTTACCCCTACACCTTACTTGATGAGGAAGAAAATGTTTTCTGAACGACCATTGTACACATGAACCCCATAACATCTAGTAACAGTTTATGCCAGCATCGAATAGTTATTTCATGATGAAAATTCAACCTTAGAAATGTTTTCAAAGTTACCCTATTTGACAATCAAAGCAGCCCGTGACTTGCTAGTCTTCCTCTGTTAGTTTCTATAGTGTTGAAACTTGCCTACTCTCTGTCACTTGTGCTCATCCTGTAAGCTGGAATTCTGATGGTGTGTTCACAGTAGTTATCTTTAAAGTGTAGGCAATTAAGAGAGATTAGGGCGACAGCGACAGGATTGTACATTCATATATACTTATTTGGGATATGCCTGTTACTCTTCCTCAAGGTAGAGTTCGTTTTATAACATGAGCCCCATCGGATCTTTAAAATAAAGTTCAATGGGACTAGATTATGGCTGGCAACGGCACCGGTAGCGGGACTACCGGAACCGGGTACCACGGGGAGGAACCGTACCGGAACTGGTAGTTTCAGAAAATTATATGTATATCCGACCGGTACTGTACCAGGACCGGACTGGAAACCGGGTCCCAACGGCTACATTTTAATTATTTTTTTTACTTATTACAATTAAAAAATTAAGAACATTAATCAAATATTATTAAAACTTTTATAATTTTAAAGTTAAAAATTTTTACTTTTAAAGTTTAAAATACAAACTTTCAAACTTTAAAAGTATAAAAGCTTAAATTTCATACTTTAAAAGTTTGAAAATTTAAATTTCAAACTTTAAAGCTATAAAAGTTTAAATTTCACACTTTAAAAATTTAAATTTTAAACTTTAAAAGTATAAAAGTTTAGTTCCCACTTTAAAAGTTTGAAAATTTAAATTTCAAATTTTAAAAGTTTAAAAGTATAAATTTCAAACTTTATAAGTTATAAAAGTTGAAGACTATAATAATAATAAAAAATTAAGGCGAATAGCCTATAGTTTTATTAATATTAATTAAATAGTACAATCTGAATTACAAATTATTAGTAGAGTATTAAAAGATCTAATCTACACAGCCACCTTCTAGGAAGAGTTCTATTTGAATTAGTCCTCGAATTATCATACTCATACTAATAGACACTTAAATTTAATAGTTCATGCTACCAAGGAAACCTTTTCTTAATGCATGAATGTCGTCGTCACTAAAATCTTGCATTATTTCATCAATATCATTTTCAAATTTGATCGATAAAGTTGGACGACCATAATTCCTTCTCTCGCCATTAATCCAATCTCAAAATAATACTGATATCTCCAAGCTATCTGCTGCTAATGAATATCTATGCTCTCTAATTTGAAATCTTGCTGCACTAAAAGCGCTTTCCGAAGCTACTAAAGATTCTTGAATAGCTAACACATCTCGAGCAATCGGTTGAAGTTTTGGAAATCTCTTGCCGCGATTGCTCCACCATTCTAGAAGATCAGTAGTAGGTTCTGTATTTTGATTAATATATGTATCAAAATCATTTCTATCATTATGAGAAAGTTCAAGATAACAATCTATCATATCATCAAGATCATCTTCATTATATCTACCCCTAGAACTTTGATGTTCTTCTATCTTCATTACGTACTACATTCATTCTATTAGAATTATACAAGTCATAAAATTTTCTAGCTTCAATTTTTATACTATCTTTAACTTCTTGACAACTAGGTATTTCATCATCTTCAATACCCAAATTAAAATATATTTTATCACCCATTCGTGATGCACCTTCATCTTTGTAATGTGGGTTTAACAAACAAGCGGTTAAATAAATTTGAGGAATAGGAATAAACTATTTTTAAAAATTTTCAATCATTTTCTCAATAGATTCTTCAAATCTTAGTTTATTTTTGAATTTATAAAATTTTCTAGAAATAACACAAATATTAGGTAAAACAAAGCAAATAATTGAATAATAAAGTGCAAATATTTTTTTTGTAGTTAAATAAAAAACTTTTAAGAATTCTATAAGTTATTTTACGTCATTCCAATCATTATCATCAAGTCTATAGGTCATATTTGAATTATGAGCATTCCAAACCATTTTTAACGGTTTCCTATATTCATAAGCGACTTCAAGCATTTCAAATAAAGAATTTCATCTTGTACATACTGATTTTGGAATTTTTCTAGGTGGAAGATTAAATTCATGACAACGATTTTTAAAATCTCTACGTCTAGACTTAACTTGACATTTAAAATAAAATGACATGCAGTTTCAACTTTTATGCAACCATTATTATACATTGCTATACCATCTCTATCAATCAAATTATATATGTTTGTAGCACACCTAATATGAAAACCATCAATATAAACAGGGCAAAGAGACGGTTTTAGTATTTCAACAACAGATGTATTATTAGAAGCATTATCTAAGGTGACACGAATTGTTTTATCACAAATTTCATAGTTTTGTAAAACATGTATAATTGTTTGAGCTATATAACTACCGGTTTTATGCATTTCACAACATTTATAACCTAAAATTCTTTTTTGTATAATTCAATTTTCATCTATCCAATGTGCAGTAATAGTTAAATTATCATTACCATTTACACTACGGCCCATATCAGAAGTAATAACTATTTTACAATTATTATAATAAAATAAACAACGAAGATATTGAAAATGTTGAGCTTGATAATCAAAGATAGCCTTTTTAATTGCATTTCTAGTAAAACCTTTAAAATGTGGATTATACACAATTTGACTATAATGAATAAAACTGAGATTTTCAACAAAACTAAATGGCAAACCCATAACAACAATCATTTTAGCTAATTCTTCAAGATCTTTTTCTCTACTATATGACCGTTGTATACTAGAGTTAGAAACATTAGAAGAATTTAATTGTGTTTGGACCATATTAGAGCCTCATACTTCTACAATTTCAGGAAGGGTGGTACCATTCTTTTTAGCTTCGGCTACAACTTTAGCATGTAAAAATTCATTTTTACAACATGACATTAAATGATTACTCAAATGTCCCGTCCCACCCTGTTTTCCTACAGTTTTATGATTCATTATGTGTTTACACTTATTACAAATAGCTTGTGTTTTATCTTCATTCTGAGTCATAAATTGCCACACAACTGATTTTTTATCATCATCATATTCATCATCATCATCATCAACATTATCAATATAATCATTAAAATTATCATGTTCATCATCTTCAGGTAATTCCTCATCAAAATTACCAAACCTTCTTTGTAAATGTTCATGATAAGGATCTAATCCACTATTACTATCAATATTAAAAACAATTTCATTAACATGCGTATAATTTTCGTATTTAGTCTTTATTGAGAAGATTTTCTAGTTTTAGATTTAAAAGTACTACCGATTTTTTTATTTTTCTTGAATCTTGAATTCCATGAATTAGTGATCGAATCAACTATGGTTTTTTTACCCTTGTCAACATTGTTTTTACCAGAATCCATATTCAAATATCAAAAGTGAGTAAATTATATATAATACGAAAATGTAATGCAAAGTTGTAAACAAATAATTAACTAAATAAGTAGAGACTAGAGACTAATTACTCACAAAATAAATAACTAAATGAAAAGTGAGTTGGAACGAATGTACCAAACGTCTAAAAAGTAGACGTGTATGACCGAAAGCCAAAAATTGAAAGTTGAATTTTGAAGCTCCAAATCCAATTTCCAAAGACCAAATTCGTAATTTTAACGAGAATAAACGATTAGAGAGTAGAGACTTGAGTGATACTTTTGAGAGTTTTTGAGAGAGTAGAAGATAATATTTTTGTGAGTGAAAAGAATGAAAGATTTGGGGTATTTATAGGTAAAAAAAAGGATGAAAATATAGTTTTTAGAAGGTTGGGGTATTAAAAAAAGTTTGAGGGGTAGGCGGGTGTTTTAGGGAGTTATGGGGTGAAAGAGCCGTTGGTGGGGCTCAAAACCCGTTGCCCAACGGCCTTCCAACGACTCTCAACGGCTAATTTTTTGCAATTTATTTTTAAAAATCGAACCGGGATCGGAATCGATATTTACCAGACCAGGACTAACCGGTAAATTCCGATTTCCTTCCCATTATCCCTCCCGGATCCCCTAGACACTGGCCCTAACCGGTACAAGCCGGAACGGAACCGGACCGATAACGGACCGGGATGAAACGGTACCGGAACCGGCACCTCCCGGTTCCGTTGCCAGCCATAGACTAGATAGAGACATGGAGTCCTCACTATTTAAGATGATGAGGATACATCTTTTTATCTTTGTGCTATATACTATTTTATTGGACAATTATACAACTTTCACATATAGCAAACACAAAATTCATATATGTATGCTATAGCAAAGTTTGCATAATTGTGTTCCATAACAAACATAAATATGTATATTTTGCTATACATATACAAAAGAAAACAGTTGTATAATTTGCTTTGGTATACATATACAAAAAGATCAATTGTATAAAGTGAGAGAGGCGAGTGAGAGAGCGAGATCTAAGAGAGTGGCGAGCGAGATCTGGGAGAGGGGAGAGAGGGGAACGAAAATATATGTATATATACAATTTTCTCTCACTTTATACAAACAC